TGTATCACTGATGGTTGTATTGCTATCAACAGTGGCATTGAACATGTTCAACCAGTCATGGAAAGCCAGAGGATTACCATCAAATGATGGAACTTGAAATGGTGGTAATTTGAATGTGGTTTTGAAGTCAATTTTGTCTCTGTTATCTCAATTTATGTCAAATTAGGTGGTAAATTGAGGAAAATTGGTGACTGGCCCTTTAAACTCTGGTAATGTTGTTTGTGGCGAAATGGTTCGAATCAAAGATGGTTGGAGAAAATAGTTTGTTGCGATGACATCTCTGTTTTTGATAGCTGATGTTCTGATTTGTTAGAGTGCTGGGCATCATATCGGCGTAGGTCTGGTTGGTTTGGAAACCTTCTACTTTTAGGTTTGTACTTTTTGCTTTTTTGGTTAAAATATGCAGACTGCTGATTAAAGTTTCGGGTTTCCTGGAGTGCGGGTTTACAAAAATTGTCGGAATCCCAAACTGGTTCTTGTAAGGTTGGGTGCATAGTATTGTGAAACAAGTCATGATGGGCGTTGACAACGAAAGTTGATTTTTTAAACTTGTTTGGGTCGTAAAGGCTTGTGTGGTGAAATCCGTTGCACTCATAACAACGGTTGTTTGTGACACAAGTAGTTCGGAGGTGATGAAGGCTTAAGCAGTTGACACAAAGTTCAAGTTGTTTTACGATGTTGTAGCGTTGAGGTGGCGTAGAAGAACTGTACTGTGATGTTATGTTCGTTCTTACAAGAAGAGCATTGCTTGCGCTGTGTTCTGTATTGGTTGAAACTCTCAGGTCCAATTGTTTTGGAAGCCTGTGGATTGCTTGATGTAACGTTTGAGCAACAGGGCGCTAGGGAATTGCTGCTAAAACTTGACGGTTCTGCATAGTTGAAGGATGGAAATTGATTGTGAAGTTTGTCGTAGGTTTTCGCATGCACTTCTAGCCAAATTTGTAAGTGTTGAATATCTGTGTCCTGTATGTCGTTTCGCCCGATGTATTCCGTCCATTTAAGAAGCAAATCTTGTGGGACTTTACTTTTGACAAGCTTTGTCAAAGTAGAAGAATTCAAATCTGCATTCAAACTGAGATTTTTGAAGGTCTGCACCATTTGTTTCAGGAAGGCGGCAAAAGAAACAAAAAAATGTCTGCTTTTGGTGGCTGCTGGCCATTTTTCTAATGGTTTTATATACGCGTTGACGACAATAAATGTATCGCCAAAACGTGATTTAAGATCCTCTAGCTCTGGTTTATAGAAGACTGGATTGCATGAGTAGCCTTTGATTAGCTCTTTCGCCTTACCAGTCACGGCGTTTTGTAAGTAGGTAATTCTGTGTGTATCACTGATGGTTGTATTGCTATCAACAGTGGCATTGAACATGTTCAACCAGTCATGGAAAGCCAGAGGATTACCATCAAATGATGGAACTTGAAATGGTGGTAATTTGAATGTGGTTTTGAAGTCAATTTTGTCTCTGTTATCTCAATTTATGTCAAATTAGGTGGTAAATTGAGGAAAATTGGTGACTGGTCCTTTAAACTCTGGTAATGTTGTTTGTGGCGAAATGGTTCGAATCAAAGATGGTTGGAGAAAATAGTTTGCAGATTGATGAGGGTTGCTTCTTTGCTCTCTATTATTTGGTAGAAAAGCGTTATTACAACTTGGTCCAGAAGCTATCGACGCGGCGTTGATCCTTGTCTGTTGATGCATGCTGAATGTTGGTTGCATATAAGGATGCAGTTCGGGTTTTTGGAAAGTTGATGCCTCCGGTACTAAAGTAACCGGATTCATATGACCCATTGATTGCCATGAAGGTTGCGTTGATATGACTGAGGTTATTTGTGTGGTACTTTGATACAGAAATGTAGAGGTTGTTTGCGTCAAGGGATATCTGAATTTTAAATCCGAGGTTTTGGTTGTCGTTGTAGTAATGAGGCTTAAATCGATATCTTTCGAGATCTGATGAGAAGATCCGCTACCGTTGAAATTGTTTGGAAAAACATCAAAGTTTAATGCATGTTTTTCTAAATTGTAAGTTGGACAAAGGGCTTCAGTTGATACTGACGGATGTCCTTTAGTTCGCATTACAGGAGTTTGCACTATACAAGAGGATTCCGCTATATGTTTTTCTGAATGAAAATCATTTATAGTTTGGTTGTTGGGGTTGTAAGGCCTGTAGAAACCTTGATCTGTGTAAGAGTTTGTTTGTTCTCCAGTTTGCTGTTTCTGGCTCGGTAACTTATGGTGTGAAGATTGTTCAGTTGAACGTATCTGCTGATGAGATTGGAAAATTTGTTCTTGTGGAAAACTGTAGGTGCTTGTTGTGAGATGGGTTCTGAGATCGATATTGTCGCTAGGCTGCTCGTGTAGTCCCGGTTGCATTAGGTGATGAGGTTGCGGAATTGTAAATGCAAACGATGGGCTTTGCAACCCTGCTGTTTGGACTGTGCTGTTTGCTATATTGGGCTGCTGTTGGTTGTAGACTACAGTTTCCGAACTTACATCGTCGTCGATCTCGATTGTTGTATCCGTACTCAGCTGAGCACCTGCATCTCCGAAGTTATTGACAATCATTGGTTTGTGTTGCTGGCATTGAGAAAAAGCGTTGTTGTTTGCAAACGACGGGGGATGAGGGCTGCTGTCAAAAGTTCTTGTCTCTGTGACAACATTTTGTCTGTTTGTCGGATGTTTGTTGCTTTCGGAATAGTTGTGGGTTTTTGCCGAGCTCATATTAGGTTGAGAATGCCTTGGACGATGATGTAAGTTGTTGTATCCGCAGTTTGGGTTGTAAAGTTGTAACTGTTGGCTTTTTTCTGCTCGCCGATCGTCTGGAAGTGAATAGCTTGTTTCTGCTCGATGGTTGTCTGTAATTGATGATGAGGCCATGTCGGCAAGCGCGTTGTTTGATTTCGTGTTTCTTCTCTCGAAGTCGTGGATAAGTTGCGCGTTGTATTGAGTTGGTGAATCGTTATCGTTGATGTCACTCTGTAGTTGTAAGAGGCGTACTGCAATATCTGTAGCTGTTGCCGTGACAAACCTAGTTTGTTCGGGCGATTCGGTATCCATGATTTCCGCTGACAATTGATTCAGTTTTGCAGTCTGGATTCTGCTGCTGCCACTAACGAACTCAAAGAACGAGTTGATTTTACTGAGCAGAGTTTTTTCTCCAAGAAGTCGGGAGATCCATTGAGCTGCATTTGGCAAATGAAAAATCTGTTCCACGCTGACATCGTTTTTTTGTCGCTATTGAAGTTGATTGTCGAAGATCTTGTCGTATGTAGGTTGTGAGAACGGCTCTAAAAAACCGAGGCGATGCGCAAATTAGTTAGAAAAAAGGAAAATTAAACAAACCCAGGAATCGATCATGATTTAGAAAAGGTTTTTTTTGAAATGTCTGTCTAAGGGTTTTATATTCTTTTTTAAATTATGTTTTACAATTAAGGCATACGCAATTAAAATCAATCAAAAATTGAAAACCAAACAAAGCGTTGTTTGGTGAACTGTCAAAAAGTCTTTTTGTTATGTATTTTTTTGTTTAGGTCCACCTATAATTTTAGGGTGGTAGTTTTAAAATCAATTCAAATGACAATTTTAATTGCAATACTCGTATTAACCTCAAGCCAATTTAAGTTTTACTTTTTTGCCATGTGAAATAAAACAAAAAAGTTGAAAAGCAATCTTCAAAGAGTTCTTCTATGAACTGTCAAACAGATTTTTTGTTATGCTCAATGCAATTCTTTCCAGATTTTTTAAATAGACATAGTCTTCAAAACTGCAGCATCAAGTGCGAGTATAATTGTTACTTTTCGATATGTCAAATTACACTTTAACAAGAAGCGTTATTGTTTAAAAAAATGCAAGGAAATGTTATTTGTTTCGTTTTCTCTTCAAATTCGAATTCAACTTTTGCTTTCACGTACAAAAGTTTCGAACCAAGATAGTTGTTATAATTTGCGAAGTAAAATTACAACAAACAAGATGAATTGGCAAGGAAAACTACAAAAGGTTTTTGTTCTCAGTGTGTTCAGAATTTGGTTATCTCTATCACAGTCTAATAAGACAGTTTTCTTTTTTTTTTTTTGGGAAGAGATTGAAATAAATTGTCAAAAATTTTTAAGGCAGCGACCAACGAAAACTACTACAAAAAACAAAACGCTCGAGTACGTTTTTTTTCTGGATTTTTTGAAAGTTGTGAGAAAAAAAGACGACAATTCGGGGTTAAACTTTAAAAAATATATTTGCCCACATCTAATCTTGGTTTTCTTCAGCTTGTCTTTTGTTCAACTATTCGTCTTCCTTTTGTTTTCAAGGAGCGCCAAAACAGGTAGTTGACATGTCACTTTAGGTCAAAACTTGGCTCCAAGAGTCAACTTTCTTAGTTCTGGTTTGTTTTGCGAGTGTTTATATCACAGAGATTACAAATGTTTGATCACAGTGACTTTTGATTTATAAAGATTGGGAAAATGTAGTTGCTCCGGCAACACAAGGCGCAAACAAAATATGCTCAAGAGTTTGAACATAGTTTACCCTAGCAGTCGAAAGCGCCGTTTTAGAATCGAAACATCGTCCTAGGATGAAAAAAGAATTTGAAAAAAAAATAATCATTCAAATAACAATGTCATTTTAATTTTACCAAGATTTTGATCCCAAACAAACAGAGTGCTCAAAAAATTCTCAAAAAAGAGCAGATTTTAGCTGAGCTACTTTCAATGCAGCTTTTAATGCATGGAGTTGAACATAGCTCTGAGGAAACTCTTCATCAAAGAAAAACTTTTCTCGTAAAATTAGGCGAAGAAAAATTGAAGAAGAAAAACATGCGATGATAACGTATCTGTCTACGATCATCAATCAAGTTACTGTAAGAGCACCCCTCATGCGCGACAGGCCGAAGGAGAAAAGCTTCAATTTAGGACTGTTTGAAGGACATTGATTCGTAGAGAATTTTCTTATATTTGGTCCTTCGCGCAAGAAAAAGACCCAGATTTTTGCTTCAAAAGTGATAGAAAGTGTACCTTCTTCTTCTTGCTCTTTTTATATTCTGCAAGCACCACTCTTCCGAAGGAGCCACTGCCGAGAGTCCTCTTCACGTCAAAGTCCTCATCCAAACTCACATCACACTGAACAAGAAAGAAATAATTTTTATTAATTTTTATTAGTTATGGTTTGAAGAATAACAAGACGGATCGTATATCAGGGCAGAGCCCTGAATGTTGCGACTGCCCCTAGTCCATATCAAATAATTTTTGTGAAAAAATGCTGAAAAACTTGCAGTTTTGAACACAATCAAAGATCAAGTGAAAAAATTTGAGTCGTACGAAACTAAAACGACCGATTAGCTAGCCTCAGCTCAATATGGAACACTTTTGAATTATCCGACTGCCTTTTAATGTATATCGAAAAGATTTTTAGAAAAAAAGTCATCAAAAAACTATAAACTTTGGACAATATCAAAAGTTAAATTAGGAATTTTGAGTCTTACGTAATTATTATAACCGATTAGCAAGCCTCAATTCAATTTGGAACTGTTTTGCTGTGCGAGATAATTCACCACGCATAAACAATTTGCGTTACGTTTTCAGCATTTTGAATAAAACCTTCAAAACGTGCATAAGTTAGTCCAGGGTATGGTCAAATTGGCAAATTTCAAACTCGAAGAACTTTGCAAACTTGATCTCAAGGTAAAATCTTTTATTTCGTATTTGAGTTTGGAAAGTCAATATCTTCAATGAGGTATAAAGTTTTTTTGTCAAAAAGTATTATATTGTTTGCCGTAATTGTTGTATTAAAAACCAACCTAAGCATAATTAATTCGTTTTCTTCGAAAGCCAGAACAAAAAAGTTTTAGAAAAAAAACATGCAAGCCCTGCTTTTTCAGCTTGAACTAGTTATTAATTTCCTACGAGACCATGGCTACTTAAAACGTTTTCATCCTCCCCACGATAACCCTAATGGATGAAAATCAAATTTCTACAGAAAAATCTACGGATTAACTAAAGTATAAAACTGATCTATCTGCAACCATTTTAAATAGACCCGATTTTTTTCTATAAAAATTAAAGTACTTCAGTGTTAAAATGATTGAAATTTCGATTCTATAATACCTATATATGGTCTGTAGATAATCACATCTAGCCAGTATATAACCTTCATACAATGAAACCTGCATATACCTTGTAGATAATCAGTATATAATTTGTATAAAATCTGTATGAAACTGATTGTGTTGTCTAAAAGCTATACTGGTCGTAACAAGTTCACTTTTGATCAACCCGACTTAAAATTAAGAAAAATTTTCTCAAAAATTAGCATAAAACTGTGAGTAGGAAAAATCTTCCTCGGTGTTATAGTGTGCAGGACTCATTTGAGGAGAAGTGCTTCAGGGGATCCCTTCAAGATTTTGAAGTCTAGGTGTTCCCGCAGAAAAAATTTATTTGTATTTTTGTGCATGACAATTAGCTTACATTATTAGAAAATTTTACACTTTAGTTTTGTTTCAATACACTTAAATTATCTGATTATCGTAAATTATTTCTAATCATTATATGTATGCAGTCTGTATAAAATCTGCATAAACTATGTTTATAATCTGCATATAATCTGTACATAACCAATAAATATTTTTAAGTATTTTATATATTTTTCAAAGTGTACATAATCTGAAAAAATATGTATATTCTTTATAAAACAATTGAGAAATATTTCTTTATAGATAGTTTGTATATAAAATGTTTTTAATGTGTACACTATTTGTTTGTAGTATGCATGAAAATTGATGCAGAAAAAAACTTTAGAGTGTTTTGGTAATGTTTATGAAATGAACATTTTCAGTATAAAGCAATTGCGGCTTTTTTTCAGTTCTCCCCCTTTGATTTTTTCTGAAAGAGAACAAATTTCTAACATACAAGTTGCCCTGTGAACAACTTTTGAACAGTTTTGTTTTGTATTTTTACGAAGGTGGTGGAGAATTGTAAAAAAGTCACAATTGCAAAACAGAATGCATTATACTCGATTATTAAAATTTTTAATCAAAGTTTTACCATCTAAAAATTAAAATAATCTCAAATAGAAATATGTATTGCTTACTGTAGATAATCAATTTTTATCCAATTTGGTGACTGCGGGTCAAACTGAACGTAGGTTTCATTGTCCTCTCTAATCTGCCTGGCTTTTTCTTCCGACTTTCGTAACAAAATTAAAGGAATATTTGTGTTCGGGTTGGTTTTTTTCTTCAGACAAATTTTGACTTTGTAACTACCAATTTTTGATGTCTTGCTGTCTTGATTGTTTTTCGTGAAGTAATGAGGGTTTATAGATTGCCATTTTGGCCAATTTGAGACAATTAACGCTCGATATGTTTCGGGCGGAGATTTAATCCGAAAAAAAAATTGTTCTTAATTGGTCGAAGGAAGCTTATTTGTCACAAATGATTTGTTATTAGGAGCAAAATTTATCACTTTGGACTTTATATGGCGTGTGGTGGGGATGATTTTTACAAAAAAAAATCTCAAAATTTTTTCCAAAAAAAGTTTCAATTTTCAATGTTGTTACTGCTCCATTGACCTTAAAAGGCAGTGAGAACAATCAGGACTTCGCGCTGATGCGAGCAGTCTGGTTTCACTTTAAGCTAGATGATAACTCAAAAGGGCAAAATAATCGTTAAATTTACCTTTGGATTTTTCTCATACTTCTCGTTGAACTGCTTCTTGGCTCTTGTCAGAAACTGCAAAACTGAAACAAATTACGTAATAAACTAATCTAAGATCAAAAACATTTCATCTGTTGTGAGAATCAAAAACAATAAAATTTCAGGTACTAATAGTTTTTGCTTTCTTTCCAGTTTCCGACCCTTCAAATAATTGCATTATTAAGTTGTCTAAAATTTGTTCTCAATGTAATTTACACGTACAAATCTTGTAATCATAGGACCACTTGCCCACATGTCATGTTTTTACTACAGTTTACTACATTGAAGCCAATTTAAAAAAAAAAGCGTTTGATTATCGAATGCAAGAAAAAAACAAGGGGGTGAGCAAACTGGAAAAATAATTTGAAAGACCTTTAGGTGTTTGAAACTTGAGGCTCGGCTCATTTTCCTGACCTCCACCTGCAATTTTTCACAAAAAAACTGTTCAAAATAGTTAGAAGTCAGAAAAAATAATAATTATAAAACGAACTTTTCGCTTTAACTAGCATCATCAGGTATCTACGACTAAATGTCAGATTAAAATTTTAGTGACTCTCTTTCCTTTTCTCCCACCTGCAACAGTTCACGGCTCTTTTTCCTTTTCCCCCCACCTCACACAAACATGAATTTTATAGTCTAACGAGTGGTTTTACAAGGTTAAATATGAAGATAAAATATGTTTGTTATGGCCTAATCAGTCTGCATGTCAATTTTCATGACAATCGGACAAAGTGAACAGTAATTTCAAATTAAAAAATTTGCAGGTGGGGGAGAAAAGGAAAAAAAGCCCAGTTCACAAACAAGATTTTTATTGGCTCTTTTTCCTTCCCCCCCCCCACCTGCAAATTTTTACATGTAAATTTGTTGACCACATTGTCCGATTGTTATGAAAATTTACATACAGACTAATAAGGCCACGACAAACATATTTGGTCTTCATACTTAACCTCGTAAAACCACTCGTTACACTAATAAATTGAAACTGGCGTGAGGTGGGGGGGGGGGGGGAAGGAAAAAGAGCCTTTTTATTTATATCATTCTATTGTCATGAGAATTGACAAACTAATTTAACAATTACAAACATATTTGGTCCTACAATTAATCTTGTAAAAACACTATTTACACCATAAAATTGATGTTCGTGTAGAGTGGAGGCGATGAAAAAGAGCCAATTTGTTTATATTGCCCGATAAATATAAAAATTGATATGTGGACTAATTAGACTGTAACCAAGTTTTATGATTTTCATACTTAACATTGTAAAACTAATCGTTACACAACAAAAATTATTTTCATGAGATGCGGGGAGTTTTAGGCTATTTTTCACTTCCTCTCCACATTTGAACAGCTCGTTAAAAAAATTATTTCGACGCCGTCAGAATACAATGAGAACTGGCATGACAAAATTCTCTTTTGAACTGTTTTGGGCTCTTTTCCTATTCTCTCACCTTTCAAAATATTAATTTTTATGTTTTTTTACGCGTTATTACGGCTAAATGTGTGATGTTACGATGTAACATATGAAGAAAAAAATCTATTCACAATTGTCAATTTGTTGCCCATGCCCAATTTCACTGCATTATAACAACGTTAATTAAGCTTTCAAAAATTGAATTTGAAGGGGGGAAACTGGAAAAGAGCCCAGTTTTGAGCTCTTTTATACCCCCTCCCCCACATTCGTTTTTCATGTTTAAAAAAGTAATTAAATATTATCATAATGCAATGAAAGTTGGCATGACAAACTAACAACTCTTTTTCCTACCAGCCCCCCACGTCGTCACACGAGCATCAATGTTATGGTGTAACGAGTGATTAAATATGAAGACCAAATATGTTTGTCATGACCTAATCAATCGGTATGTCAATTTTCATAAGATTCCAACAATGTGAACAAAAATGTCGATCGTTAAATTTTGCAGGTGGGGGGAGAGAATGAGTCTAACTATTGTGAACAGTTTTGTTCTTCGTACTTTACATGGTAAGATCACGGTGAGCATGTGAAAAAAAATTGCAACGTGCTTGTGGAAGTAGAAAAGAGTACCGCAAGATGGCTCTTTTTCCATCCCCCACCTGACCTCACATAGGCATCAATTTTATGATGTTACAAGGGGATTTACAAGGTTGAATATGAAGACCAAAAATGTTTTTCATGGCCTAATTAGTCCGCATGCCATTTTTTGTAACAAACAGAACAAAAAATCTCTTGTAAAAATTGCATGTAGGGGAGAAAAAAGAGCCGCCAAGATGAATTGTGAACCACCTCCTCCTTCTTTGACTTAACTCACATCTCCTGTTGGCTTCCTTCCTGGAGATAACCTTGCCGTTCTTTCCTCCTCCCATTTATAACTAACTTTTTCCAACCTCGCTTCGGCTACACCTGGCTCTGGTACGGTCAAAACTTAATTTACGCCATCCTGGTGATGAAAGGTAAATTCACTGATGTTGACGTAAAACTGACATTGTACGCAAGTCTTCTGACTGCTGTAAATATATTTTTAACCGAAAAAAAAAAACAATTCTACTTCAAAAGCTGAGCACGTGACAATAAAATTACGAAGTACTGAAAATCAAAGTTCGGCTCAATCAATATAGTCTTCTTAAAAAAGGAACTTCTCCTCTAATTTCTTCCAAAAAACTCTTATAGGACATTGAAACTCATGTTTTTTATGCCTTGCGACATAAAAGCACGCATTTAGCCTGCTCGCATGCATTATTTATGAAAATAGAATGAGGCGAGGGCTTTCAAAGTAGCCTTTCCCCACCACTGTCCCCACATTTCCATTCCAGCTTTTCCAACCCCCCCCCCCCACCTGACACGAGCATCAATTTTTTGGTGTAATGAAAAGTCTTACGAGGTTGGTTATGAAGACCAAAAATAATTTATTTTGGCTCTTTTTCCTTTCCCCCCCCCACCTCACACGACCGTCAATATATTAGTTTAACGAGTAGTTTTACGAGGTTGAGTATGAGGACCAAATATGTTTGTCGTGGCCTTATTAGTCTGTATGTAAATTTTCATAACAATCGGACAATGTGGTCAACAAGTTTACATGTAAAAATTTGCAGGTGGGGGGAAGGAAAAAGAGCCTATATTTTTTTGGCCTAATTAGTCAGCATGTCAATTTCATAACAATCAGACAATTTTATCAAGAAATTTAATTGTAAAAGTTTACAGATGAATTTATTGAACTTTATTGATGAGGCCAGATTGTTAATGGGGCTCTTTTCCAGTCCCCCCTTTCAAATTCAATTTTGAAAAGCTTAATGAACGATGTCATAATGCATTGATGTTTGGCGTGGTGAACAAATCGACAACTGTGAACAGATTTGTTCTTCGTACTTTACAGCGTAACATCACGCATTTAGCCGTAATAACACGTAAAACAAACATAAAACTCGGTATTTTGAAAGGGGGGAACTGGAAAAGAGCCCGGAGCTCAAATTTATTGTAAAAGGAATAAGGTTGCTGCTCCCGGGCAGGCTCGAACTGCCGACATCCGCATTGCTCATTCTGTCTATAAGTACGGCGCTCTAACCGACTGAGCTACGGGAGCTACATAAAAAGTTACTCATTCAAAATCATTTTGAAAACTGCTTTTTTATTCAAGTTCTGGGCTCTTTTCCAGTCCCCCCCCCCCGCCTTTCAAATTCAATTTTGAAAATTCTATTTAACGTTGTCACAATGCAATGAAATTTAGCGTGGTGAACAAATCGACAATTCTGAACAGATTTAATCTTCATACTTTACAGCGTAACATCACGCATTTAGCCGTAATAACACGTAAACCAAATATAAAACTCGTTATTTTGAAAAGGGGGGGAACTGGAAAAGAGCCAAGTTCTGTTTATTCCATACAATGGAAATACAAAAATTGACAGAACTCACATCCGAGTTAGATCGAAAATGTGTCATTTTGACTATCCAAAAGAAAACTTGGAGAAGGCCAAGTGTAGCTCATTTTGAAGCCCTAATGTTTGTGGTTCGGATTCAAAAATAAGTTCCGAAAGTTGTTTCGGTATCGGGAAAAACTGGCATGTTTTTTTTTTCAGACTGAATTAGACACAGGATGAGAGAGATATTTAGAAGACATTTGATACGAGGCTGACCTCCGAATTTTTTTATTAAATGCAGTTAAGAATGCATATAAAAAACGATAAATTTGACTGAGAGCAGTTGTTTTTTTATAGGCGGTAGTTTTTCGGCTGATTCCTACTTACCGCAGCTTCTAACCAATTGTATAGAGTTGCAATAAAAGCTTCAGACTTCAATTTTTATGTGAAAGAAACTTAATATTTTCTACTCTTTAAAATAAATTGTTTTTGTACTATTAATCAGGTCGCCATTTTGAATAGCAACTTGAAACACAAGGAACAGCAAAAATTAACCGAAAGAAGAGCCCAGAAAATCTTGAAAAAAAAATTCTTTTTTTTGGATTAAAACAATTTTAAACAATTGTCAAGTGCCTTCAAGACATTTTACAGTTGTTTAGAACTATTTTAGTCCAGAAAAAAAAATTTTTCAAGGTTTGTCAGGCTGATCCTTGTGTTTCGAGTTGCTGCTCAAAATGAAGACTTGACTAATAGTACAACAACATTTTTAAGTCTTTTTTTGTTTCTGGCCAACGTATCCAAATCAGCGAAGTCATTATTATTCCAAATAACCTGTTCCAAATTTTGACCGATATTATTAGTCGAGATACAAGATTCTTTTTCGAATTTTAAAGAAAAGGAAAGAAAATAAATACTTGGAATGATATTAATCTTTCACACCAAACTTACAAAAAAATATGGGGATAGTGTTGATTGATCCAGGAATTGGGAGTTACCAAGCAACTGTGTTTGCAATTAGGCTAATGGCGGTTGTAGTTTTTTGACTAATTCTTAATGATTTTAATGGGCATAATGTTTGTGCGGGGCGAATTATCCCGCATTCATAATCGCTCCAAATTGAAATGAGACAAAGCATTTGATCATATTATTCCGACTCCAATTTTTGCACTAAATTTTTGATATTTTTTATGGAAATCCAAAGTTTGTGATGTTTCCTAATTCAAACTACTCAATTTTTTTCGTGAACACATAGAAACGCAGTCGATTCAGAGCTTTCACATGATATAAGAGCAATCTTGTTTTTTTTACAGAGAAATTTGTATTTTTTAACTAACGATTTTGACAAGATTTTTTTAAAAATCATAATTAATTTATTTAAGTCTTGTGCTCGAACTCATAAACACATTCCACTTGTGTATATTTTTCTCAAAAAATGAAAGGATTTAAAAACTGCAACTTGAGATTATTTCACTCTGTATTTTTAAATAGCGCGTGGCGGATGTTTCTGGGAGAATAAAACTCAAAAAAAGCTGCCCTGATACAAGCAACCTTCTACGTAGCAGGCGAGATAGTAATTGCTCATACAACAAAATTCCAACTTTTCGTTGATGGATGTTTTGTTTTGTCAAAAAAGAGACTACTCGCACCAAAGTTTCATGGATAAAAATCGATTATAATGGATTTTTGTTCACTAAAATGTGGTCTACATGTTCAATTATCATGACAAATTTAGATAACTTAATGGATTTTTAATCCATTTTAAATGATTATTTTTGATAAGTAAAAATCCAACAAAAACTATTAAAATCGATTATAATCCATTTTTTTCATTATTTTGAATTTCTTTTTGCACACAAAATCCTTAAAAATTGATTAAACTTTGTAGATAATATTTATATTTTTGCAACATTCTGCAAAACTCGAACGAACAGGATTATCCGAGGGCGGCCAAAATGTAGTAACTTTAAAGAGGCCGATATGTAGTAGTTTTCCGAAAAAAGGACCAAAAACGGCATTTTTGACGAGTTTTTTTTTCAAGAAATTTGCCTGCAGCGCTGAAAATTTGATCGAAATACGTACTTTTTAGTGTTGTGCGAGTGCAGGGAAAATATCAACTTGGCCAACCTGAAAAAAATTGTCTAGACTTTCGTTTTCTTTTTGAAAGTCACCCCCTACGTTCCCCTTCCTTGCCCCCCCCCCTACGTGTTTATCACACCCCCAAAGGGTGGCTAAGGTTTAAACGCGGGTTTGCAAATAAAACTCAATTAAAACAATAACAAAAAAAACGTGACTTTTTATAAACTTTCATAAACGCAATTGAAATTAGAAAAAAATTGAAAAAAGTTGAGAACTTAAGTTTACCATTTCATGAAAAAAAAACACCACACAAAAAGATTTTAATAATTGGATTAAAATCAATTATAATCGATTAGTACTGATTATTTTTTTTTGATCAAATATTTTGAAAATAACTTGAAAATAACCATTATATTCCATTTATAATCTATTATAATCGATAATTTTTGTTAATTTATAGAGACTGAAAATGAAAATCGAATATAATCGATTATTATCCATAAAACTTTATTATCCATAAAGCTATTCAAACTGCTTCCATTCTTGTTCGAAAGAACCGAAACAAAATTATGAGAAGTTTAAAACTTGAAAAACGTAATCTTTTGTCTGAAACTTTTTTAACAGCCACTAATATTTCGCACAAATTGGTTTTAAGCAAGATACTGCGACTTAATGCACTGAAATAAAACAGAAATATGACTTCTGATTAGAACAATTCATTGTTAAATTTTCGACTTTCTTTTTAATATAGTTACATATCTAAATAGTTACAATATAGTTTTTCATATCTTTTTAAAGTGTTTTGTTTCGTTTTTATTGGCCGCACGACCAGAGCCCAGTTTACAAATAATGGCGAAAGCAACGGAAAAACTGTCAAGTAAGAGAATATATCAATGTGTTCCCATTCAGGAAAGAAATTTATCACCAGTCGTTTTTAAAACCAAATCTTAAAGATTAGACAACTTTGAACATTTAAATAAATCTTCTTTTTTTAAATAAATCATAGTGACTAACAGGGGCGGATTTAGGGGGGGGGGGGGGGGCGGTGTGGGGGAACGGACGCCTCCCCCCCCCCCCTCAGGGATTCGACCCCCTGCCGACCCAAAAATCCGCCCCCCTCGAGAAAATCCTAGATCCGCCCCTGGTGACTAAAACGCAACAACAGTTTTAGCAAATGAATAAAGAACTTCGAAAATGGTAAACAAGAGTAAGCAGTAATATGGTTTATTCGGAGCTTAACATTTTCGTTTTATCTTCAGCAATTGTTTTATTTTCGTTTTTTTTAATCATTGCAATCAAATCTCAAAAACTAAAAATCTCGAAAAAAAAGTTCAAACATTAGCTTCTACCAAAGGGCAAAAATTTTAATTTTCAATATGTTCAGCTGTTGACAATAAGAAGAAAGAGTCCAAAGGAAGTTCTTCCAAATGGCAGCCCATGAGTTGGGCCAAGAACAGGGCCACCAAACCCCCCAGGAGCAAGCAGCAGTCCGTGAAGGGGGGCAAAGGGGGCGGAAAGAGCAGAGGTAAAAATCTTTCGCTTTAGGTTCTGACCACGAGCTGGGTAAAAAGAAAAACGAATAACCCGAGTGTAGAAGATTTTGTATTCTCATTAGAAGTTTAAATCTAGCTAAGTTTCAAGCACTCCCCGTACCCAAGTTACTCAGTTGATAATATCTGACAAATATAGTCGAAATTTCTAAATCACAAAACAACTCTATTGGGGAAGAAATAAAAAAAACTCATAAATTTTAATTAATTGGAAAACTTCAAAAATATTTTTCTTAGTTTTCATAGGAACCAACGTCTACAAAAAGCATAAAATATAAGCAATTTAGATGCATTTTCGAAGACAAAATGGACCAAAAAAAGGATTATAATCAATTATAATCGATTATTATGGATTTTTGTGCATAACTAATTAATAGAATTTGAATATAAGTAATGAATTATAATCAATTATAATTGATTATAATTGTATCTAAAAATAAACGAATAAATAATCGATTATAATCGATTATGATGGATTATAATTAATTTTAATTTGATTTTAAAAAGAGAGATTGTAATTGATTATGATTTGCTTAAAATCAATTGTTTCTCAATTTTAGCAAAACTGGTACTAAAGTTGTAATATAATCGATTATTAGCGCTTGAAACTGGATGCGGGAAAGTTTATTTTAAGACGACAAAGCAAAGTTATAGGTTTATGCTCTACGAAGTTATAGTTAAGAAGTTTTGATTTGTACAAATTATTTTGGAGTTATAATACAGTTTAATGATCTAACCAACATATAATTTCTTATTGTCTAAACATGAGAATTAAAAAAATAAATTGATAACCTCATCAAAACCATTTTTTTCTGTACAATTCCCAAAAACATTTTTGTCTCCTATTGCAATCTTTTAGTTATTTTTTCTCCTAAGAAATCCTATAAAAATCTTTTTTTCTCCAATGAACCCCATTGAAATGTATTTCTTACTAGGCGTTGCTGCATTATAAATTTGAATGAAACCCGTGTAGAATTTTGAACAAAAACTGAGGGAGGGTTTGTGCTTCATCAATTTCTCAAATTTTCGAAATTTATTGAAAAGTATGACCTAAAACCACACAAAAACAGTAAATTATAGTTTTCTCATTATCTTCTTCATTAAAACAAGGAACCTCATTATGATTCACTTTTTTTTTCAAAAAAACAAACTTGTTTTCGATGTTTTGACTTTTTTCATTTTGCATCAACATTTAATTACCTGCGCAGTAACAAGTATATTTTGTGGGTGCAGGATTCGGTTTTTGATTTTTTCGTACGGCAAATCTAGAATTTTTGAGAGCGTTCTAATTTGATTTTCCGAGCTCTGCCTCCGGTTGGTAAAAAAACCGTGGCCCAGTAAAGTTTGTGCCACAGGCTTATTTATGATCGGAAGTTCCAGAAAAGCCGTTGTCGGCCTTCTTTTTAGGTCGACAAATTTGATTTCTGAGCTCTCGGGAAATAATATAAGGACGCTTTTTTACAAAAGTTTTCTGCGCCGCAGGCAAAATTTTGAAAAAAGGCTAAAACTGTCGTTTTGAGAACTTATAAGAAATATTTGACCAAAAATTGCGTTTTTTTTCAGCGCGCGCTCCCCCTCAAATTTTGTTATATTGGCTCCGAAGTCGCCTTTGGAAAGTTTTTGATATTGGCCAGCCAATAATGGATCTTGTAAAACTATACCAAAGGGGGGACCTTTTGGAAATATCTGTAAACCAGAACTGAGGGGGCGTATGGTTTCATCATAGGTAGTAAGTAATATGTATTTATTGGCGCCAAGGTTTCTTGAGTGAAAAAAAGGAACCCAAAACAGGTATATTTTGTCCTCCCTAGGTACTTCGCGTGCTCCTCCGAGTAACATAGCGGAAGAGGAGGATGAGACCCCGGGAGCGCAAAATGGGGGGAGTGAAATTCCCCCTGCAGATGAGACAAATCTAACGCCAGGAGGGGGAGGTGGAGGCGGAGGCGGAGGAGGGGCTACTTCTGATGTGAAGAATCCAAAGTACACTGAACACTTTACTAATATAAGCGCAGAGGAGACTAATCCGGCGGTGACAGGGGCAGTCACCGATAAAGGCAGGCAAATACTATATTCATTTAACCAATTAAAAGCATCATATGATGAAAAAGAACTCCCCAAATACGAACGTGGAAATGGCGCGAACGATTTCTAGTTTCGAAAGTGGAATTTAATTTTTGAATTTCCAGCGG